ACACACACACACTCCCCCCCACGAATACCCAACGTTTTCAGGACTTTATTTTCTTCAAGAATTTAATTATTCTTCTAAAAATTCACACAAACCCAAATGAACTAATGTTCCGCTTTATTTTTTTACACAAAAATAATATTGAAAGTTGTGCTCCATAATTAAAAATAAAATACTCATTTTTTGTTTGAAAAAGAAAGTACTTTTCTACAGCATAAAAATAAAGTACCCATTTTATTAAAATAAAAGAAAATACTTTTTATACATCATGAAAAGAAAATACTTTTTTTGTTGAAATGAAAGAAAATACTTTTTGCTATGTCATTTTGTTGAAACGAAAGAACATACTATTTCTATATCATGAAAAGAAAGTACTTTTTTGTTAAAATAAAAAAATTACTTTTTTATATCATGAAAAGAAAATACTCATTTGTTGAAATGAAAAAAATAATTCTATCTATATGAAAAAAATATATTATTAATAATATTTTTATTTAAGGTGGAGGGTGGGATGGGGTGGGTAGGTAGGTGTGGTGGTCGGGATGGGTAATAGGACGGGGAAGGTTGAACAAGAGTTTTGGAAAATATTTTTCCTTCTCTTGATAGGAAAAATGTTTTCCTCCAATCGGAGAAAAATGAGAAAACATTTAAGTCAACCAAATATGAAAAAATTAAAAAATATTTTTTGGAAAATAGTTTCTTTCATACCAAACACACCCACTATGTCTATTCAATTTAAGACCCCAAATATTACAAAATAATTCAAGAACTTTGTTAGTAATTTGTACCAAAGTTATGCGCGTCCGTCATGACTTGTGCATAAGGCAAAATTTGTTCATATAGCAGAACTTGTAAACAATTTGTATCAAAGTTATGCCATGCTCTCATGACTTGCGAATAAGGTAAGTTTTGTTAGAGCCCGTTTGGCTTAGCTGATTTAGAATAACTGATAAACATTAAGTGCTGAAAAGCACTTTTAAGTGCTGAAACTGATTTAAAAAATAAACAGTTACGTGTTTAAATAAAAGTGCTGAAATTAATAATAAGCATCTGAAGAACTGAGTATACGAAGAGTTCTGTTTTAAAAAGAAGTATTTTAGGGATAGAATAGTAAATATTTTGGTCAAACCTAAAGTGCATATAAGCTGAAATTTGATAAGTTGAGGGAGACCAACTTATGGCTTTTGACTTATTTTTGGCTTATAAGCACTTAATTTATGAGCACTTTTAATTTTACCAAACGTGTAGATAAGCCAAAAAGTGCTTATAAGCCAGTTTGACCAGCTTATAAACTTAGCCAAACACCCTCTTTAATCCGACAAGGTTTGTATACCAAGTTATGTCCCGAGTTTATTTTCACATAAATTCCTTAAGTAGGGATGAATTTTAAACAACGTCGTTGATCCTATGGTACAAATCGGGTGAAGTACAGAAATAGTCCTCAAAGTGGATGATCTTGAACTTTTATCCTTGTTTGCCCAGATTGGTAGAATTTCGGTTTAACAAGTATTGCCCCTTGCTTGTCCCATGGGAAACACTTTTAACTTTTGACTTTAAAGTTTTACTCATAAGACAAGCAAAGGGTCAAAAGTTAAACACCATACCAAAAAGTGTCATACTTCTGCAATTTTTTGGTGCAAATCACCCTTTGTTCTTCTGTATCGTCAGTGTTATTATATCTGGTTGCCACTTTAGGGTCTTGTATTCATATGTTGGCCACTTTTTAAAAATTAGATTCGTGATCTGAACATTAATTTAAGGCTTCTACAATTAAACACGTTTACCACATTCATAAGTTACTTAGCTAGCGTTTGGCCATAAATTTCAAATTTATTTTGAAAAATTTGAATTGGGTAAAATTTGATTTGAAGATGAAAATATGTTTGGACATACGTTTTCAAAACATATTTCCCAACTTTATTTTGGAAAAACATGTATATAATTCCCAAGTTTTGGGATTTTAGCCCAAAATCAACAATTGGGGTGATTTTGGGATTTGGGATTTTGCCAAAATGTAGACAAAATTTATGGTCAAACATGAGTTTTGAAAATAAATCCCAAATTTATTTTGGCAAAACTCATGGCCAAACGGCTCCTTAAACTATAATACTAATTTTGAATCTTGAGAACTACAGGGAGTCGCACATGCATAATTAGAGGCCTGCGTACACACTACCCTCCCAGACCTGGTGTTGTTGTTATGCAATACGAATCTAGATTAGGCGGGCCATTAAGTTTTGGATACCATTTGATTATACCAAAAGTATCATTCTGGCTCCAATAGTATTTAATATCATTATAGGTATCATTCTGGCTCTTCAACTTGGCCACTGAACAGGAGCTCCCTCTCTTGCACCAGAAGCAGAAGCGGAGACAGAATTTGAAGTTTATGGGTTCGAGATTCTAGTCCATTTTAAGTTATTGGATTATATATTAATAGTTCGTACATATTCAATGGATTTCTTAAGACAAATACATGGTTTGGACCAAAGCTATTAGGTTCGCGGAACCCGTAATCCGAGTGCTAGCTCCGCCCCTGACCAGAAGAAGGAAAAGAAAAAAAAAACACAAAACTGAAGAAACTTGAAAAAGAAAACTAGGCATCACATGGAAATTACAATAAAAACATTACTACAATTGATTCATAATGTAAGCTGTGCAAGCCATACCTAAAAGTGCATCAAGAAATCTTCATCCTAAGATTGATAATGTAAGGTATAAATCCACTAATATAGTATGAAAAAAGAACACTATAACCACAGTTTCTTTCTTTTACAATCACATACCTCTTCTTTATCTTCCCTTTGGATTCATTAGCTGAGAAAACACTCCAGATGAAGTTGTTACATCAGATTCTCCATGGCTAACAATGTCAATTTCGTCAGCTGGTCCCGACTCAACACGTGGAATTGAGTAAGGTATATCCGGTATGTTATGGCTGTTCTCGTCCTCTAATGATTGTGTAGCAGCCTCTTGCAAGTGAAGAGCATATTCAAGATTCCAAAGAACATCTCCCATCGATGGCCTCTCACAACCGTACTCAGCCAAACACTTCTCAGCAGTTTCACCATATTTTCTAAGCGAATCAATGCTCACTTTTCTGACAAGATAAGGATCGATTATCTGCTCTAATTGGCCCTTTTTTTGCCAATGCATTGCCCATTCGGCAATGTTTACTTGTTCTCTTGGAAGAGATGGATTGATTGCTGACCGAGCACATAGAACCTCCATAAGTACTACTCCAAAAGAATAGACATCAGACTTCTCTGTGAGTTGCTGTCGACGATAATACTCTGGATCGAGGTAACCAAAACTTCCTTTCACAGCAGTACTCACATGAGTTTGATCCAATGCAGGACCAAATTTTGATAGACCAAAATCAGCCACTTTTGCGGTGAGGTTTTCGTCTAACAAGATGTTGGTAGTCTTTACATCGCGGTGGATGATGCACTCGGCTGCCCCCGTGTGAAGATAATGCAATCCTTTTGCCGCTCCAATGCATACTTCTAGTCTTTGTTTCCATGATAGATGAGGAATATCTGATCCGTACAAATGTTTTCTAAGAGGTCCACCTGCCATGAATTCGTATACGAGGATCATCTCATTGAGCTCCTCACAATAGCCAATTAGAGAAACTAGGTGTCTGTGGCGAAGCTTAGATAACATCTCGATCTCTGTCCTGAACTCCACAAGTCCTTGTTGAGATTTACTGTTTCCCCTCTTTACAGCAACCATAACCTCATTTTCTAGCACCCCTTTGTAAACTTTGCCAAAGCCACCAACGCCAATGACCAAGCTCTCGTCGAAGTCCTTGGTAGCTTCACGAATCTCAGAGAAGGCGAAGACGCGGCCCAAGGTCCGTGAAGGTGTCGTTGAAGCAAAACTACCTGCTGATATTTTGGTTTCTGAAATTCCAACTTGGTGTGGAAAAGATAGCCATGACAAAGATTTTTGTTTCGCCAATACCTTTGGCTTGCGGAAACAAACAAAACAGAGAAAACAGGACGCTGCGATGAGCAATAATCCTGCTAACCCTCCTACCGTAGCGAAAATTGCTACCATGACATGTCTCTTAGTATTCGATCTTTTGGAATCACTAGAATATATGACAAATTCTCCGTCGAGGCTATTACTAGGATTGCTCATTTTCATTATCTCCAAACCGTTTAGAATTGCATTGGCTTGAGTAGTCCTTAAATTAGAAGGACCAACTTGAACGAAAATTTTGTCCGATTCCATAGTCATATTTACTACAAAATCCGCAAAGTAAGCAGCCGACAATGCCATTGTCTTGGTAGAGATATCCAATGACTCCACAGCCGTTTGGTTATTGATGTAGACATCGAAGATCAAATTGTTAAGAGAAGCACTAACAATGTCACAGAAATGCATCCTAATGAAGTAAGTGAATCCATGTTCAACTTGAAATGCCCATGTAATATTAAACTTCTGATCCATTACTTTGGCATCTGCCATTTCTTGAGCAGTAGCATAAACCCAATTCGGTGCAATATCAACCGACTCACCCGCTGGATACTTGACTGTTTTCGGATCCTTAGTCACGTTGCGGGCAGAAGAAGGATGGACAAGAAATGAATGATCTGAATTCCATATCCTCCACAAAGTGTCATTTCTTGGTGTCAACTTTGGACCTCCCATATTCACTCTATAAGCTGTTTCTAAGGTAACCGAGGACGGAATAACAAACCCGGGACCCATTGGAATTGGGATAACACTAAAATCAAATTGTCCCTCAGGTATAGAAACCACTTCTATCCCATTGATAAATGCAATCGAGCCACTAGCTGGAGTCAATGTAAGTACTAAATTCTCAAAACTCGATCCACCTATTTCGACTACGTATTCCTTCAAGAGAGGATCAATTTTCCCCAATTTTGAAAAGGAAAACTCATGAAGCAGTGTAATACCATTTGCCACAATAGAAAAAACAGCTGATTTTAGGTTATGCTGATTATTCTTGACAGGGTAAAAATGCAACCTTAACCAATGTCTACCAATTTCCTTTGTACTAATGGTATATACTGAACTTTTGGTAAATACTCTAGCAGAATTATGAAGTTCAGATAAACCATTTTCACTATTTGATACTGTAATAAGTGAATTGGTACTCAACCCCACATCAGAATCCCCAAAATCAGGTTCAAAAACCCTACCATCTTCAACTTGTATAGATTTACTACTCCCACAACTAATCAAGAAACAGTCTATTGGAGTAAAAGAAGCACATACCAATGATGAAAAACTGATAAAACACACAATGCTAGCAAAAAACAACCTTTTCAAAGAAACCATCTTCAATTCAAGCACACTCAGTACTTCTGCTGGAGGAAGATAGCAGGTATCAGCAAGATTTAGTTGAGGTACGCACAAACTGGCTCGAACACCACCATTATCCAAGAAAATTCAAAGATAAAACATAGCAAGAAGCAGACATTTAAGGTACAAGACAGACTACAAAAACCAACAACAACAATAACAAATCCTGTATAATCCTACAAGTGGGCTCTGAGTGAGGGTAATGCGTAGACAGATCTTATGTCTACCTTATCATAGTGGAGACGCTGTTTCCGACAGACCCTCGGTTTGACGACAAAAAACCAATATGGGGTAAATTCTTGTCCATGTCTAATTAAGCTGAAAAAAATAGCATACCTTGGTGTGTATGAGATAAGAGGAAAAAATCTAGCAAAATTGGGAAAAGGTGAAGGAGAAGTGTGAGGTTGAAGATGGGTATTTTGTGAATTCCAAGAATTTGGAACTTTTGGGTCGGTGGAAGTGAGAGTGTTAGGAAAAATTTGAGCAAGTTGGGTGACAGGTTTGATGACATTAAAGTGAAGCTTAGGGAATTGAGATGAGCTAATAACTAACACAGCCAGTTTACAACTGTCACTCTTTCTACTATTATATCTTAATAACTGTCTGCCTTCTCTAGATTCCTAAGTGAGTTGACCAACTTTTTTTCTTCTTTTCTGATGGTCCAAATTCACTTTTCAATTTTTTTTGTTATTTTTTTCTCTTTTTTTTTTATGGTTGAAAAATGGAATTTTATTATTATAGTTAGCACACCTAATATATTGTTGTTATTTTTATTATGCATTTTTATGGTACTAATATATCATTTCCTATTGCTTTTTTGAGCCGAGGGTCTCCTGGAAACAGCCTCTCTACCCTTCGGGGTAGGGGTAAGGTCTGCGTACATATTAACCTCCCCAGACCCCACTTGTGGGATTATACTGGGTCGTTGTTGTTGTTGTTGTAGTTAGCACACCTAATAATTTTGTTGATGTTGATGGAGATATTTTACTAATCTCTTCCAATAATATCTTAAGATGATTTTTGGGAAGGAGTCGAGAGTATCGGAAACAGATTCTCTACTTTCATAAGATAGAGATAAGGTCAGCGTATACATTAACCTCCCCAGATCTTATTTGTGAGATTACACTAAATATGTTGTTGTTGTTGTTGTTGTTGTTGTTACAGAGGATTAAAGGAGGAAGAAGAAAAAAAAGGTTGTGAGAATTAAACTCATGCTATTATTTGAAAGACTCTCACTAATAGCACTAGACTATAAGCTTTCGCTATTATTTCATGATAATTTACCTTGCAAGGAAAAATTTTGTAACTTTTTAAGATCACATAGTTAGAAAATATATCTAACTTTTAAGATCACAAGATTTTAAAATATTTTTTTAAAAAAAAAGTTAGAAAGATGATCAAGATTTGAGATCAATGAATGGAGTATTATTATATTTTTTAAGAAAATAAGATCATCAAAGATTATTGTTTTTATTAAAAGGGGAAAACAACTTATTTTGCTTATGTTTTCTTTGACAATCGTATGAAAATGTTTTAAAAAATTTTGAGAGTATAGAATAGTAAGATAAAATTTCTTCTGAAAAATATTTATATTTCTTCATATTGAGCACACCTTAATCCTCATTTAATAGATTATCCAATCCGGAATTATTTGTTCATTCCGATAAATAACAAAAATAAAATTGAAGAATGGATAAAATGAGGATTCAGTGATTTGCATCATCTTGTTATTTGCGGCCTCTGCACGATAGCACGTGTAAATCACATGCCTGTGTTTTCATCACCTAATTAAGTAATCACGTGATCCATCCTGTTAAGATCCAGTTTAGCTCTTTAATAAATCCATATTTTTCTAACTCAAATTAATCAAATCTTTGTTTGTGTCAGTAACACACTAACGTTTCGCAGATTATGTAACAGCCCGTAAATTTGAATCCGTTGTGGATGTATTAAATGAGTATTCATGTGATGGTTATCAATTGGTTATGATAATAAGTGTAGGAGGCATATCATAAGTGATTTGGGGTCCAAGGAGAGGCCTAAGTCTAAGTCAAGTTTGAAAATTTCATGACAAACTAAAATTCCAAATGAGCACGCACAAGACCAAATTTTGCACGAGCATATCTACATTTATATAAGGTACTATATGATTCACAACCCATCAAATGAAAGGTCTTTGAGTCTAGTTTCTAACGCTTCAAACCGTTCGTCATTTGGACACTCCTACAAGAAGTTATGACCGAATTACCAAAAGCAGCGCAGACTTTTATACTACCGCGCCGCCCCATGCGGTGCGGCTGTGTAAATTAACAGAGCACCTCCAAATTTTGTTTGTAAACACATTTTTAATTACCACTCCTCCCCATGCGTCGCCCCATGCGCCGCGGCTGTGCAAATCTGCGTTTTTTTGTCAACCCGACCCTATTTTGATATAAAACCTTCGGGAGTTATTTTTCCCACTTTATTTGGACGAATTTTAGGGTCTTCCTCCACCCTCTCAAGACCTCCAACCCCTCCCATCGTCAAGGTAAGTAATCCTCATTATCTTGCTGTGAATTTCATCATTTATACACTAGTATTGAAGAAATCTACACATAAATACTTAGATCTTCAAGGGATTTTTTCAAGAACTCAAAGGAGGGTTTTGCAAGATTTCTTCCAAAAAGGTAATCATACACCCTTATACTTATATGTATGAATTTATTAAGGGAATATGAGTATGAATAAGTATTGGAACTCTTGGTATGGTGATTGGAAACCATAAGTTCCCAATTTGATTACACAACTATTATAGAGATTGAAAGATGTTTATTTAATGGAACTTTGTTGGTTGAGTATGGATGGATGGTCATATTTGTGATTTTGGGAGTTATAAATTGGCTAATCATGATGGTGGGATAAATTGTTGATGAATGGTAGTAGTTAGATGAACTAATTATATGACGATGAGGTGTAGAGATTTAGGCTTACAAGGTGTTTGATAATACGCCTAAATGGCTTAAGTTATGGAATTTGTTACTAATATTGGGTTCCATTGGATGTTGCTATTGTAGATTGAAGGTTTTTAGTATTGTGGATCATTGTAGTATCACTAAGGGGCGAAATTGAGGTATGTAAGGCTAACTCTTTACGTTTGGGAATGTCTATTATTCTCCCTACGTCCCATTCATTATGACCATTACCAGTTTCCCTGAGAAAGTAACTATCCCTCGGTTCCCTGAATAGTAGTAGAACTTCTATTCTCTAGATGGCATAGTCTCATAATCATTCAATATTCCATGAGTTTCAGTTATGATAAATCTACTTATTATGAATACTCATCTCAGTCTAATCGTATTCACTAATTCAGTATCATGTAACTTGGTATTACTCATTATTTCAGTATCATGTATTGTAATATGATTCTCAGTTCCTGATCTTATATTCTTGAATGTTGAACACCTGCATTTGGGCCGGAGGCCGCAGTTTATGCTTTATGCATTTTGGACCTGAGGTCGCAGTTATGTATACGTATACTTGGGCCCGAGGCCGCAGTTGTGCATATATATATATATATATACACACACACACACACATATTGGGCCTGAGGCCGCAGTTTAATATTCAGTTCAACATGTTGTTCATCATTCAGAAGAGGGAGTATTCACATCTTTACTTCCTTGTTTAGTTATCAGTTTATCAGCTAGCAGTTCAGTTTCAGTTTTAGTATTGACAGTTCTTTTGTTCAGCTATTTTACATACCAGTACAATTCAAATGTACTGACGTCCCTCTTGCCCGGGGCCTGTATCTCGCGATGCAGGTAACAATTTGCAGGTTGACGATTCTACTTGCTAGGACATCTCGTATCAGCTATTGGTGAGCCCCAGTTTTCTGGGGCTTTATCTCTCCTTTTGTTTTAGTCATTATAGTATTTCAGTTAATAAGGTATACCAGGGACCTTGTCCCCGTAAACAATTAGCATTTTCAGTATTTTGTTAGAGGCTTCACAGACTATAAACGAGTCAGTCAGATATTAGCAGGTTTTCATGTGTTAGCCTTGTCGCTACTTGTTTATACTTGCAGACCTTTCAGTATTTTCCGCATCTATGATATTTCAGTCAGACTCTTTAGTAGATTATCATGTTTTACATTTACTTCTAGCTCATAGTTATACCACATGTTGATCCAGCCATGCAGTTGGTTCGCTCGGTCACATACAGTCAGGCACCGAGTGCCGTGTTACGCCCAGACCATGGTTCAGCGCGTGACAGATTACCCCATTAAAAATAATATTTTGGAAAAATATTACTTTATCTTTCTTTTCGAGGCGGAATAGATTGAAAGGAAGGACTTTTTGTTCAAAAAGAAAAAGGAAAATAGATTATAAGTTACTTGACTTTTTTTTTTTAACTCTTTGCTTTTGGTCCTTTTTTCTATTTGTTAGTATAACTTTCAAGTATCCCTATTGATAATCTTTAGTTTTCTTTTATACTATTTCCTCAATCACATCTTTATTTTTCGTCTACGCTGGTCCACTATTAATGGAACCAAGCATAGGCAAAAATAAAAAAAATTAAATAATAAACAAAAAAAAAATAACTCTATTAGGAAAATGAAACTGGACTTGGAAGTAGGGTTTCAGAATCTAGGAGCAGCCTCTGCACCAAAAACAGCTTCCAGTAGCAGCAATGGCAAGAATCAAGGTTCATGAGCTGAGGAACAAGACGAAGTCTGAGCTACTGGCTCAGTTGAAGGATCTGAAGGCCGAGCTTGCCCTACTTCGTGTCGCTAAGGTCACCGGTGGTGCTCCTAACAAGCTCTCCAAAATCAAGGTGGTAAGGTTGTCGATCGCACAGGTTCTGACTGTAATTTCGCAGAAGCAAAAAACTGCTCTTCGGGAAGCTTACAAGAACAAGAAATACCTGCCTCTTGACCTGCGCCCTAAGAAAACTAGGGCCATCCGCAAACGTTTGACCAAGCACCAGGCGTCATTGAAGACGGAGAGAGAGAAGAAGAAGGAGATGTACTTCCCCATCCGAAAGTATGCCATCAAGGTGTAGGATAGGATCTATTTTGGCAGAGCCTTTTGTGTTTTGAATCAGAATATATTGGTGAAACTATTGAGCATGCAAATTTTGTTTAGCTTTGTTTCGTTTGGCGCTTATGACATTAGACACATGACTGATATGGAGCTTCATTTGTTCCAAGTTTCAAGTTTATTCCTATTTTATGTTGAGCACCCTGTTATCTTTGATCTTAAGGGTTTTAAAGCTTATTCACACTTAATTGGATAAGTGATTGCTTGATCACGTTGCAGTCCGCAAGTTGATGAAAAATATATTGTAATGTCCAAGCTATGAAGAAACATGGTTTGAAGTGGAATCTGCTATGATGTTATTGTTGGAAAAATTGTCTATTGTGCTATGAATTCGTCGTGCCTTTAAGTGCCTCGTTGATCAAACGGGAATTAGGGATAATACTATTTCATACAAGTTGAGATTGAATATTGGTTTATACACAGTGCAAAAGCTTCAACACATCAAATGTTTGTCATAGCTTAGTCGAA